TAGGCCCCGACGACTTCAAAAAATTATTGCCAATTATTTTTACCCTAAAAGTATGTATTGAAATATTATTTGAAACTGAAATAGCATACTTTGAAACATTGAGCTAAAAACTATAAACTATTTTTAATCCTTGTTACCATGTCCGGGATATTAAATTTTAGTAATACAATTATTGTACAAATTGTCGTTTGACTGCGAGTTTTAACTTAATCGTGAGTATCCAATTTGGTGAAAATTACGTTGAATATATTTAACATATAGACATGGATCAAGCTAGTAAAACGTGTTCATGAAGAAATAAAATGAACATTGAAAATGATTTGTCACCTATAGCTATCAGAGGTCTTAAATTATAATCATGCTGACTCATCCTTAGTTTGAGCAGCTGTAATGGATATCGAGTGGTTAGAAAACTTACTAATGGAATGTAATAGCGATAAGACATGAAGTGCATTAATAGGTATAGCTTTGTTTCTTAATTTTATGAACAAATTTTTCAATAAGTTTTGGAACACTAAAATAATAATTTGGTAAGCCAAACTGTTAAAATTAGAGTTAAAAAAATATATATTTGAGTTATTGCTTTATTATTATAATTATTGCTCGTTGAGTTCAGAAAACACCTACAAAAAAGTATTAGCTTCTACCATATTAAATTTACTAATTAGTCCATACGAGGGATCTACATATACGAAGTCCATGTGACCTAAGCGTTCGGGCCTTGTCTAGAAAGTAGTAGATTTCAATTCCCATCAATCCGGTAAAAGGTTAGGGCATCAGAAAATTACCTATCCTACATTTCTTTGAAACCACAAACATTCGCAGCACTTTGCAGTAGTAAAAGACAGAACGCCGATAACAAGCCACTTGAGCTGAATGCATGTCCTGTCACCAACACTTAGAAAGAGAGTTGGGCAAGAAAATAAAATAAGAGTACGAACTACAACTCCATTATTTTTAAAACTTCTTACATTTCAAACAAAAACATTCGTATAATTTTATGTAAATATATCAAGAGTTGTCGTACTGTTCTTTCCATATTGTACTTTGGCGTTGTTGAATTATTAATTAGGGATCTTCGATGAACCCACCGGCCACGGAAACTTGAAAACCTGTGTTAAATTTACCGACCGACCTAGTGTTAATGTTTCCGTTTGTTTGTATAAGGTCAAACATACCTTGTTAATGTATGTACATATATATAACAAAAGTATCAGAGTGTCAAATATTTTTAAACAGAAGCATTTGATGGTGGATTACGTGAGTTTTTGACCAATATTTCCTTGTTACATTCCTTTAAACCAAACCGAAATAAGGGTATTAGGGAAAGAGGGACAAAAAACAGTCGGAAAAGTTATATATGTAATTCACGAACTCTCAAAAATATTGTGAATTAAAATAAAAGTTTTGTATCGGATACAGTAATTACGAATTTGGTGTGATACAATAGCTGAAGGTAAGTAAACATATAATTTAGATGACCTACTACGCTCCTACGAGTAAATATATTATATTATAGGTACTAAATAAGTGAGGTTTTATTACTGGTGGTAGGACCTCTTGTGAGTCCGCGCGGGTAGGTACCACCGCCTGGCCTATTTCTGCCGTGAAGCAGTAATGCGTTTCGGTTTGAAGGGTGGGGCAGCCGTTGTAACTATACTGAGATCTTAGAACTTATATCTCAAGGTGGGTGGCGCATTTTCGTTGTAGATGTCCATGGGCTCCAGTAACCACTTAACACCAGGTGGGCTGTGAGCTCGTCCACCCATTTAAGCAATAAAAAAAATAAAAAAAGGGTACCTACGTTATATTACCATTCAAATTCCATTCTTTTAAATTGTGTGAGGAATTTTGAATCTATAATATTATTATATTAAATATTTGTACTCGTATATTATAAGTATAAATGTTATAGTGTTTAATTTTTTTTTTTGCTTAGATGGGTGGACGAGCTCACAGCCCACCTGGTGTTAATTGTCCACTTTTTCCTTACCAATTCGGTGCTAGCCTAAAGGACTATTCCAGTTACGCTCGGACTGGTAACAGAGCTAACGGGCTGAACCTGAGAGAGTTTGCTATCACTGACCTTAGCAAGAGTAGAGCTTCACAGAATCTACCACGGTTCTCCGTCGGCTTCGTCCGACGAAATACTCAGTGGGTTGTGGTTCTCTACAACCTTTCTTAACACTGTTCTATTGAAGATTATTTTCTTACGCGCAGTTAAAGCACTTAATACTTAACACAAATTAATTATGATCATAGCTTTAAGTATCTACAAAGGGAAAACTGTGAAATGTGTTGAGCTGATCTCAAAATGCATTGATTTTGACGTGACAACGTCTTATGATTCGATGGAGCCGGCTGCACCCACAAAAAAACATGACTCATGCGGCGTTACCTCGCTCTGAGGCGTATTTTCTTATGACGTTGTCACGTTCAACTATCGTCAGTGAAACGACTTTACAGACAACCGATTTTTTTTTTGTAAGAATACTAACATGTGTATTTTTTGGAATTTATGAGCTAATTTCTAGAACGAGTGAATAGTTTCACTAACAGGAACCACCTTCCTTTATATTTCTGCATCAAGCTCCCATACGTTTCGATTGTCAAGGACGGGAGAGTTGTAATTCCAACACAGTTCAAATTACTTCTCGGAGACGGTGAGATTCACATTATGGTAATTAAGCACCGTTACCCACCTAAATATAAGACCGTGAGCTTGTCATGCCATTAACTAATAAAAATAGTACATATTATCATCATTATCCTGCCCTTCTCCCAGTCACCTGGGGTCGGCGCAACATGTTCTCTCCTTCCATACTCTTCTATCATATACCATTTCTTCGCTCACTCCCCTCTTACCCATATCGTCTTTCACACAATCTATCCATTTCTTCTTAGGTACTACTCTTAGGTACTTAATCCATTTCTACTTAGGTAATAAAAATAGTACATAATATTACCCAAATCTAATACAAGTTGAACAAGCTTTGAGACTTAATCCATAAATAGAAAACGCGAAACGACCGTATTATAAATATCTGTTTGAGTCTTTACACCGAAATGTCAGGTCGTAAAGAGAAATGGAAATTACATTCATGTGGAAATCCGATCTTTTATTGATGACCTCCATCACTCAGTGTTGGCAATATCAATTGAGGGAAGATTCGAAATAATGTGGATTTATATCCGGAAATATGGTACTTTAAAATTGAGCATAAACATTTTTATTTAAAAGGTTTAATACTCTTCTACTTCTTCTAATTTCACAATTCTATCATAAATGTCATACTACTTATGTACCCACTCAATTACCAAGGCTTTGACTCGTTTGAGCCCTAGCTTTGGCGCACCAGGACTTTCATTGACTTCACAATTACTGAAAGGACGGGGGAACGTGCGTCCTTGCCTGCACTTCCTTAGATATCGTTTTAACGGGGCCGCCACCAGCAGAAGTTATGCTAGAGTAGTACTAAATGGAATTAGTCCATAGATTCGCCCCTACCTTTCTGCGCCGGAGCAGATAGGCTATGGTTGTTATTTCTCTTTTTTGCTCCCTCCATCAGCGATTTGACAACCTCTCTCTCAAAATAGCCTAAAGGGATCTATTCGAGCTCCTGGGCACAATTTCAGGGCTTACAGCGGCGTCTCTCTACAATAGTGTCTCTCTGGTACCGGCTCTATTTTTCGTTGAAATTGTGCAAGTGCCCACTGGAGAAAAACTAACCGCTATCTAACGTTGAAGCTTCTTGTGAAATATAAAACTTTGGGGAGGGTAAATAAATAGCAGAGAATAGTTAAGACAATGTGCTCGGTTAATCTTACATACTTTGGGTGCTGTTAATGGAAGATACAGAACATTTTGCTATATGCCATAATAGTTTTAATAGTTGTATGTTTTTGGTCTAGCAGTCTAACCGAACAAATGTACAGGCCACCTAATATTTAGCGGATACCGGGGCTTAGTACAACAGCTATCTTAAAACCGGAACACATTAACCTCCGCGGCATGACTGGGGCACGCAATGGTGCTTACTTTTCCTATTGCATAGAAGGATGAACGGGCCATCTGGTGTAAAATGATTACTGGAGCCCATAGATATTATCCTATCACCAGTAATTAAGCAAATTATAATTTTGCGGGTTTGATTTTTATTACACCATGTTATTCCTTCACTGTAGAAGTCAATCGTGAACATTTGTAAAGTACCTACATATTTCATTAGAAAAATTAGTACCCGCCTTTGGGATTCGAACACTGGTGCATAGCTCAACGCTAATGCGCCGGACGTCTTATCCTTTAGGCCACGACCACTTCGAAGTCTCCATTTCATTGTACCCTCGCTATCGCGGTAGAATTAGATAGGTGTAACTAACCATGTGGGCTTATAATATGCGTTACCACGACTAAATGTCGATATCCAAAACCATAGACACAGCCCAATGAGTTTCTCGCCGGATCTTCTCAGTGGGTCACAATTCCGATCCAGTGGTAGATTCTAGCAAGGGCTAGTGTTAGCAAATTCTTTCAGGTTGAGCCCATGAGATCACGTACCCGTCCGTGAGCTCAGGCTCCTCAGGTGCCTAGGCTACCAGCGAATAGGGAGGGGAAAAGTCAATAAGTAAGTTCTCCAGATAATCCTTGAGTTGTTTTTTTTTCGTCACCCACATGAAAAGATAACTGATGCTACTCTAAGCCAACAAGCTAAGCTAACAATACTAAACTATTTTTGTTTGAAAGTATCATATTAACTGAACATCGAAACATATGTACATACATAACTCTAAACTTATCAAGTACACTAAAAGCACGGAATGAAAATACAAATAATGTAAAATAAACGTTTAATACAAAATCCAATAACAATACGATTCACAATATTTACATATCGAATATCTTACATATAGAAAATATAGCATCAAAGAAAATATTAGCTTTGCGTGGGAAGCCTCAGAATCGATTTCGCCGTATAGCCGATTTATAATAACTCGTAAATCTATGTCTTGGAGAGTATTTGGAAGGCTTCGGATATATTTTGAGTGAAATCGTAAGCCGGTTTGTCGCTTTCCACGATCCACGTATCTCCGGTGCTCGCTTTGTTGATCACCTCCAAAATACCCTTAACAGCTGACTCGACTCTGTGGAGTTTGGAATCAATGTATCTTTAGGCTTTTGTTTTTTTATATTTTCAGTGTAGAGCAATAAACTTAAGGCCGCCTTGGACAATGATTTTCAGTGTCGTTGGAATAAAGAATAACGATTCTATTTGTTTTCTTATTATTTCGGTGTGTTACAACATACATAATACTACAGTTGGTAAAGTTTCTTATTGATTATTCTCGATGCGTAAAGCTGCATTTATTATTGGTAACAACATAACTTTTAGAAACTTCAGATAATGCCTAATTGTGTAAAATTTATTCGTACGTTGTATAATGTTACCTTCAAACTAGAAGGCGTGACCAGTTCGCAGCATTAATACGCTATTAGTGACCAAAGGAACTTTTCTGAGACCATTACATTACATATAAACTGGTGATAGGAACTCTTGTAAGTCCGCACGGGTAGGTACCACCGCCTTGCCTATTTCTGCCGTGAAGCAGTAATGCGTTTCGGTTTGAATGATGGGGCAGCCGTTGTGACTATACTTGAGACCTTAGAACCTTATATCTCAAGGTGGGTGGCGCATTTGCGTTGCAGATGTCTATGGGCTCCAGTAACCACTTAACACCAGGTGGGCTGTGAGCTCGTCCAACCATCTAAGCAATAATTTAAAAAAGTACACACATTTTATAGTGACGTCGAGCAATTTTTTGTTGATAAATAAGTCACAGGTTGATCTCAATGAGATTTTCTAGAGTAGAACAATATTCAAAAGTCATTCAAAAACATTCGTATGAGTTACCCCGATTATGTTGATGTATACACGTGTCTGTCGTAAAATTTAAGTGTAAGAGCAAATATTTCCCAGCGCCCGAATGCCAAATATTATTTAAAAGAAAAAACTCATTCGGAAGACAAGATGCTCTGAGGTAATTTTATTTATTGCTCTGGAAGGGAATGCGGAGGGCCGCCTGATTTAAGTGGCTACTGGAATCCACACAGAGCACTTTTTGAAAATCTTACCTAGAATTTTGGTACCTATCTATCTACGTGAGCTCTGAGAATACTATCATCATTAACTATAACATATCAAGGTGACTAATTGATAAATTAATGCGGGAATTAGTTAAAAAACACACACATGCCAAAGTTGCTCATGTAATAATAACTATCATAAATTCTGCTCCATTTTATCATACCGGGAAAACATTTTAGGATATTATAACCAAACAGGTCTGTTTCAAAATAACAAAAATCTATGTCTACATACATACCTTTGTCTCACGGGGGCACGCGAGGACAAACACGGAGCGTACTCTGCATCAAACTTGGTTAAGTTGTTCTTGTAAAGGATTGCAGTGTCAGTGGGCCCGAGGCATACGGACAATACCCGTACTTTAGTCCGGGTAAATTGTTCCTGCGTCTGTTGTGAAAAATATTTTCGTTACGTGTTTTCGGCCAGACTTTTTTCATTCACCGTCGCAATAAAAAATAAATCGGTGGCGACGTTTACGGTCACAATAATGGATTCGTCGTATCTTGTTCAGTAAAAAAAAAAGTCTTAAGCCGCTCTGTAGATTTCAGTATCCTGATATTTATTTTTTTATTGCTTAGATGGGTGGACACGCTCACGGCCCACCTGGTGTTGAGTGGTTACCGGAGCCCATAGACATGTACAACGTAAATGACGCCATCCACCTTGAGACATGAGTTCTAAGGTCTCGTTTGTAACAGTATAACTGCCCCGCCCTTCAAACCGAGGCGCATTACTGCTTCATGGTAGTACCTACCCGTGCGGACTCACAAGACGCCCTACCACCAATAAGTAACGGCAATTGAATGAATTACGCTATTAAAATGGATCTCATAAAGACAACAGCTTAATTATTTAAAATTTAATGCCTTGTCTACTCGTGAAGCTGATATTGTGTTATTTAAAAATAGTTTTATTTTTATTTTATACTCAAACAATTGATAATAAATATTGATAGAACTTATAGCAACATGTTAATAAGATATTGATAGAACATTTAGCAATTTTTTTCTAAACGCGGTTTACACTCATTTTTAGTTGTCCCCGCAATATTTATTATTATTATTACGATATTATTTTATTATTACGATATTATTGCCGAGCTAACAAACGTGTAATAAATATATACAGTTTTTGAGGCCATATTATGCCGAGCTATAGTGCTTTTTTTGTTAATTTGCTTACAGTCCTTATTTACTCAATCATTTAGACCATACTAGTTGCTCCCATAATTTTCACTAACTATAACAAGTAAACCGGGAATTCACTTAATTTTTTTATTTATCTATTAAAGTCGACATATGATAGACTGCGAAACGAAGAAATTTACAGAAAGTCGACAGATCCACTTAGTGGGTCACACTATGATGTGTGGTAGTGATCGGATCAATGTCAAAATTTCGGCCAGCAAAGCCCGGACTGAGTTTGTCTATTATCTTACAAAAATCCAACTCACACACAACACTATATAAATACAAAAAATACTTACGCCCATTCTAATGCTGAACTGTAATACCGCCGCTTTAGTAGCGGCGTAAACAGGTAAATGGCTGGTGAGATTAAGAGCAAGTAGGGACGATATATTCACTATAACACCGCCAGAACCGCCTTTATCTGCCCCCATAATATCGAGCGCTTTCAGAGTACTATTCACTGTGCCCGTCTGTAATAAAAACCGATGTTAGGTTCACTTTTGGGATGATCGTTCAGTAGGTACTTAGGCTTAAGAAGCAATTCCAAATGTCTAGACTTAATTGATTGAAAATCCAAAAACAACTTTAGTAGTGCTAAAATTGTAGCCTGGGTTTTTTTTTTATTGCTTAGATGAGTGGACGAGCTCTCAGCCCACCTGGTGTTAAGTGGTTACTGGAGCCCATAGACATCTACAACATAAATGCGCCACGTACCTTGAGATATAAGTTCTAAGGTCTCAGTATAGTTACAACGGCTGCCCCACCCTTCAAACCGACACGCATTATTGCTTCACGGCTGAAATAGGCAGGGAGGTGGTACCTACTCGTGCGGACTCACAAGAGGTCCTACCACCAGTAATGATTATGGCTTAAATGGGTTTGTGATCAAACATATTTTAATTGGTCGTCGTCACTTATAAATATTTTAACTCCATCCTCTAATCCTCTTTAAACCTCCTTCAATAAAGAAAATCTTAGTGTTCATGGAACGCCGAAGATTGGCGTTCAATCAGACGTTTCCTACGTGTTACATTGAAAATTTGATACACCGAATACATAACTCATTTAAGTTGCCGTTCAACTCAATTGCAGGGATACCAACAATCGATTGGGTAATTCGAACGATCGAAAACGCGCGGAACATGTCGAAAATATTCTACGGCCCGAGTTTAATCGAATCATGAAAATTAATAACGTAAAATCGTGAACGTTATATTTGAGCCATTTATGAGAAACGTCAACCGAGTTGAACGATTCCCATTAAGCTATAATGTCTAGTTTGTTTGAATGGTCAGAAGAATGCAAACTCGTACGACTTCTACGGTTACTGATTCTCTATCATTCGTAGTGGGCCCAGCATTGTTTTTTATTTCCCCTCCTAATTCCTTAAGTACGGATAGTAGGGGATATTTCTAACTTATTCTGATGAATTTTACTATTCCACTTATTTTAGTCCGAAGCGTCGATGCATTCGGAATTGATGGCTCAGATCAGTCGTCATTATAATGTAGTTGACATGATTTTCATGATAATTACATAACCACTTTACGCTAAGCGGGCCATAAACTCGTTTACTAATTTGCCAACATAAAAAGATTTTCAAGCCAAAGTATATTTTTTCAAATAAGATTAAAATATTATTAGTGTTGAGAACTAATGCGCTCTTGGAAACGGAACGAGATGGTTAGAAGAGAAAAAAGAAGCCGCTGCACTTAACTTTAATTCAGGTTTGTCTTTAAATTTAAATTGTTTTGGGGTCACATTACCGTGTGCGACTTTTCCCCCTTTATTATTATTGTTATTCATCAGAGGAGGCTGTATTTGTAATGAGAATTTGGACTGGTACGAGTACCACTCTTTTACTTAAATTGTTCCGCATGCACTCCTGTGTAGGAACACTGATTCAAAGCTACCTAGAGGGGCTAGAGGCCGCGAGTATGTTTATCAGGATTAAAACATATTTTTAATATTAAGCCCTCGATTTCAATTACTGAAGGAAAAAAACGATTTCATTTCGAAAGCATATGCTTAACGGCAATATAATCATTAACAATAATCTAATTCCATTTTCAATTAAACTAATAAATTATCGAAAGAAAAAGAAAAAAAACTCACAAAATTGATATCAATCATTCTGTTGAAAGAATTATCATCGATGCTAAGCACTGCAGCGCTGTTTATGACACCGTCAAGCCTTTTGTATTTGTCCAACACTTGTTTGTATGCAGAAGCGAGTTGACGTTCGTCTCCTACGTCGCACTTTATAAACTTCACTCTCAGGGCACCGAACTTGATTATAAGTTGGGCCTCCAGGGCGGCCCCTTCTCGGTCAGCGACATCTAGAAACGCGACGTGCTGCAATCATAGATTTATTAGATTGGTTCAGATCAAAATTTCAAATGCGTGAAGAATAGTTATCTCAATTTAAATGTAATCGATTTTTTTTTTATCTGACGACCTCGCTGGTAATCTGTTAATATGCAACTTTTATCTATTCCATTTACAATGTAAATCCATTAATGAAATATTACTGAGCGTGAATTTTCAAAAGCACTCTTCATCTCGACCTTCACCTTTTTACCGACAATTCAATGTAATTTTTACAGGTGGTAGGACCACTTGTGAGTCCGCGCGGATAGGTACCACCGCCCTGCCTATTTCTGCCGTGAAGCAGTAATGCGTTTCGGTTCGTAGGGTGGGGTAGCCGTCGTAACTATACTGAGACTTGAGAACTTGTATCTCAAGGTGGGTGGCGCGTCTACGTTGTAGATGTTTATGGGCTCCAGTAACCACTTAGCACCAGGTGGGCTGTGAGCTCGTCCACACATCTAAGCAATAAAAATAAAATAATAATAGTACAGAACCACTGTATGAAATCAGTGTGATTCCCAAAATCATTTTTACCACGTATGGCATGGCTCTGAAATCAGCATCCTATTACAGCGGCAGTTTTCCGAGCGGTAAAACACGTCCTTCAAGCAATGCTGTAGATCATTCTTAGCAGTGCTCAGCCGCCAACAAAGAGTCGAGTCTAAGGCTTGCTGATGTCTTCGATCGGTGTAATGTACTCCTACCAGTTTTTGTCTACCGCGTTAAAAGTGATAAAAGCGTGCTTTCATTTAGTCTGCATTGTATTCAACATCACAGATCATAGAAACTCGTCAAGCCACCACAAAAGCAAACATGATATGACCGATTTTAAATATGTATTAAATAAAATTTTACATTTCATTTAATAAAGATAACCTCAATTTATTCATTATTGACCAAAGATATAAAGTTACGAAACAAAAACATTTAAATATACGATAATTGGCCAAGTTCTTATGACTTGCTGTGTTGACATTGTTTTACTTATCTTGAACCAATAAACGGTGTTTAGGTAGGCACGTATTTGTGTATGGATTTTGTTTTGGTATCAAATTTTTCGACTTAATAATTTCATTAAAAATCGACAGTTAACCAAATCGAGATGAACCTGTTCCATTTTGTCCATCATACAATCTATTGTCGGAATTCAGCCCATCCCCAATAGACCACATAACGTACCAGCTTGTTCAAAGTAATTTTAGACTGCACTAGACAATTTCTCTAATGTAATACGTACTCAACAAATGCTCTCGATTGACTTCCACGGTGAAGGAAAAACATTGTGTGATAAAAATCAAACCCGCATAACTATAATTTGCGTAATTACTGGTGGTAGGACCTCTTGTGATTCCGCGCGGGTGGGTACAACCACCCCGCCTATTTCTGCCGTGAAGCAGTGATGCATTTCGGTTTGAAGGGTGGGGCAGCCGTTGTAACTATACTGAGACCTTAGAACTTATATCTCAGGGTGGGTGGCACATTTACGTTGTGGATGTCTATGGGCTCCAGTAACCACTTAACACCAGGTGGGCTGTGAGCTCGTCAACCTATATAAGCAATAAAAAATAAAAAAATAAACAAAAGAAAGATCTAGTAGTTATTAGAAGGAAGTTATTCAATATTTCTACGCGATCTTATAAAATAAACGATTTACTAAATCGGAGCATTGAAAAATACGTTAAGAAGAGACGATAAGTACCCGTGCATTTTCGAACAGCAACGCCTTGACCAAGCCAGCGCCGACGCCTGCCGCACCACCGGTCACCAAGAACACTTTATCATCGACATCCACAAAACGCTTCACGAAATCCGGTGCCATTTGAAAACCAACAATTACATCACATTTATATGTTACTGGTGTCCGTAGATAGCGGCGTAGTGCACTGTACTGTTGCCGATATTAATGGGTTTATCGTTAATTTCTTGAGTTTGACTGATATCATATCGGCTGATACTGACACGCCCTTGTTTTCCGAACGATTTATTGTTTTCGTAAACGATTTTATGCGCAATGTCAAGGCTGCTATTTTGGCAATCAATATTATATTTCAATCATCAACGGTCACATGATAGTTTAATTGTAACTGTTATTTCAAACAAATGTTTATATTCGAACTAGAATATTTTTCTGTAACAACTTAAAGTGATTTTGTCCTAATAAAGAAATCATGTATTAGAGTATATTGAGGTCACAGCAATATCTATATATTAATACGTGAAGCAAAAACTTTGTATCCCTTTTTACGAAAATTGCGCGGACGGAGGAGTATGAAATTTTCCACACTTATAGAGAATATAGAGAAGAAGTGCACAATGCTAATATTTTTTTTTAAATAATGCATAAATGATACATTAAATCAATAAAGAAAACATTACACACACTACATACCATGTACTTGACGCACACACGCATGCTTACTATTTATTGTCAAACTTTTGTTCTTGACGCCTGTTGTCAAATTGAGAATAGATTAAATATTGTTTGTCTTTGTTAATATTTTTTATAGTGTAGTCTTGGCGAAAATTGTGATTATAGAAGTATAAAATACAATCATAATAGTGTACAAACTTACAATTCCAATTAATTATAGTCGAATTTCGACTACTGCGGGACCACTAGTATATTTAAATACACATATTTTAACATTGTTCATTTCGTGAGATGTTTGGAAATTTTTAAAACTAGAAACTTAATATTTCAAAAAAAAGCTCAAAACTTCAATTACGTAAAATTACGTAGCTGTGTTTTTGCATAATGTATACTGTATTTGATATTTAATTTAACCGGATAAGTAAATGCATCATCTGTATCTAGTGCAATAAAGAAATGTGCAATGTAATGTATTTTAATCTTAAAATTTCAAATAAGATTTTGTTGCGTCCCTGATTTTCCAGCAAATTCAAAGAATGCTTTTATTTGCAAAATGAAAATCTTATTTTGCCTTCGCGAGCTCTTAAATTCCAAGCGTAAAATTGTTTTCCGCAGCTGTTTTCTTCCGAACTTTGTTTACTCAGAGCTGGCGGTGAACTAACTACTTGAATACTTTATTTTATTTATTATATCATATAACTTTAGAACCGTTATCATGACTATTCTAGGTATATTTTTATTTTATATAGTTTAAATAAAATTTTACAGTATAGCCTTAAAGGCAGTCACAATAAAAGAAAACTGGAAAGAAGATTACTGGTGGTAGGACCTCTTGTGAGTCCGCACGGGTAGGTACCACCACCCTGCCTATTTCTGCCGTGAAGCAGTAATGCGTTTCGGTTTGAAGGGTGGGGCAGCCGTTGTAACTATACTGAGATCTTAGAACTTATATCTCAAGGTGGGTGGCGCATTTACGTTATAGATGTCCATGGGCTCCAGTAACCACTTAACACCAGGTGGGCCGTGAGCTCGTCCACCCATTTAAGCAATAAAAAAAAAAACAATAATTATACAAACGAATTTGGAACCGGTCTTCTAAATTTAATATTCATTAAGTTTTCTCCTTATTTCGCGCCTAAAATTTGTTACGTTTTCTTCTAGTATTCAATATGCGATGATGTCATAAAGAGAACCGAATTACTGTGATACTATTTGACAAAAAAAACAAATGTAATATAATTTGTCGAAACAACAAAGATTTTGCGATCCATATTGTATTCATACTAAAAAGGCGATCGAAGCTGTGAAGATAAGATTCCAAAGAACTCATTTTCAATATTAAATTTTTTTTAGAATATATTGATATATAGCGTAATTTAAAGCAGACTTAGATTTTTGACTTTATAAGAAACGCACTAATCTGTAATATCCGATATTTTAAAAAGAATAAGCTTAGTAGTTTCCCTTGTTACAATATTTAAGGCAAGACTAGTACGTAGATCATTTTTGGCATAGTATTTCTGTACATATTTTATTTCAATGAATAAAAACGAATTCGTAAGAGTTTTTTTTTGCAAAAAGCGGATTAGACCTTTTACTTCTGGTATCAAATATGTAGTAAGTATAATATCGCAATTTCTCTTCCACACGCAGTGAGCAAACCTTCTTTTGGTACGGATCCAAAAACAAAAGACACTCATACGTGAAGTGCAAATGGCGTATCTTTTTAAAAGATTACAGAGCGTCCTCAAAGGGCCTACTGCAATAGTTCCCCTAGGCCTGTTGTGAGTGAGGGTCGACGCATCGAAACGGCTAAAGCGCTGTTAAGCTCTGCAGCTATTGACTGCGTAACAATAACGTCTAACAGCGGGTAGCACAATAGATATTGTAACGCGCTGGGGTTCGGGATAAATAAAAGAAGTCTGCCGAATTACAAGTTAACACTGTATTAGCACTTAGAACACTTAAAACATTTCACAAACACCTTAAAATTCTCAATTCGCTTCTTCCGCTTCACTTCAGGTGATCCGTTCGCTGTTTCGCTTCGAGTAGTTCCGATTACTAACTGACTGCGTGGTATCTCTGCAACGCTTTTATAGTTGAGACGAAATCCCTAGAATCGTCGAGAACATTCCACAAAAGTCGAGTATTGTGTGTTTCCACTATCTGACAATAGATGGCGTTGTACTTCTCGAGCGTTCTAGATGCTATTAGATCCTTCGATATTCGTTCGACTATTTGGTGATAGATGGCGTTACTCTTACCGGCGTAACAATTTTTTTCAAGTTTTTTTTTATGTTTTTTTTATTGCTTAGTTGAGTGGACGAGCTCACAGCCCACCTGGTGTTAAGTGGTTACTGGAGCCCATAGTCATCTACAACGTAAATGCGCCACCCATCTTGAGATATAAGTTCTAAGGTCTCAATTATAGTTACAACGGCTGCCCCACCCTTCAAACCGAAACGCATTACTGCTTCACGGCAGAAATAGGCAGGGTGGTGGTACCTACCCGTGCGGACTCACAAGAGGTCCTACCACCAGTAATAAATTTTAACGTAAATAGTAAATTTTAACGGACTCTTGATAAACGATTTGCTGCTGTTAAATATGTGTTTGCGCTTTTCGTTATATAGCTATAGCTGTGTTTACTGTATTAATTAATTTTAACATCAAATGATTATAAAATATGTTGAGTCTATTCTATTATAAAAATAGTGGTGAGAATTGTTTTAGTGACTCAAAAAGTACTCATTCTTCTTTGTCGGATCGCGGTCGTCATTCGGTATCATTGCTGTGGGCAGATGTTATGTGCCTCATGAGTAATCGACACTTGTGATCAAACACTAATAAATATACTTTAATGTACATATGCTATATCTAATTAATTACATATTAATTACATTTTAGAAGTCGTCGTGGCCTAAAAGATAAGACGTCCGGAGCAATCGTGTTGAAGCGATGCACCGGTGTTCGAATCCCGCAGGCGGGTACCAATTTTTCTAATGAAATACGTACTCAACAAATGTTCACGATTGACTTCCACGGTGAAGGAATAACATCGTGTAATAAAAGTGAAACCCGCAAAATTATAATTTGCGTAATTACTGGTGGTAGGACCTGTTGTGAGTCCGCGCGGGTAGGTTCCACCGCCCTGCCTATTTCTGCCGTAAAGCAGTAATGCGTTTCGGTTTGAAGGGTGGGGCAGCCGTTGTAACTATACTGAGACCTTACAACTTATATCTCAAGGTGGGTGGCGCATTTACGTTGTAGATGTCTATGGGCTCCAGTAACCACTTAACACCAGGTGGGCTGTGAGCTCGTCCACACATCTAAACAATAAAAAAAAAAAAACATATACCAAAGTAACAATTTATTAGAAATGTTTTTATCAATTTAGAATTTAGTATCTAAGCAAAAACTATTTATAGATAGACTAGATAAACGGCCGATTTATTTGAAGCATGCCATACTATTCTAGGGGCTCAACTTGTTCTAGGGAAATACGTAAACCGTGCTAACGAACGACTTTACGACGAAATAAATAACATCGATGAATAAAAATCAAACACGCATAATTGATATACAGTGAATTACGGTTATAACGACGGCGGAGGAGGCACTTTAGTGTCGTCGCTATATCCGGAGCTCGCTATTCGCTATATCCGAAATAATAAAAAGTCATGTACTTAAGTATTTACTTATCATTTATTTAATTATGGTATACACACACGGGTGTTACGTTCCGTAAGGGATTTCTGGGAATCTGTCATAAATGGTTCATAAAAACAAGTCGCTATACCCGAAATTGACGCTATATCCAAAGTCGCTATAACCGAATGAATTTCTCAGGAAAGTATGCTTTAAATTCAATAGACTTAATTTTGACGTCGTTATAACCAAAAAGTCGTTATTAATGAAATCCACTGTATTTGCATAATTACTACTGGTAGAGCAATCTACGAGCTCATACGAGTAGATACAACACGTGCCTGTTTATTTTTATCACGAAGTAGTCAATGCTAGGACACATTGTAGGATACTAAAATGTGATATTCCTAGTCTAGAACAGGACACCTCTGTAGTGAGATTCAAGAAAAAGTAAAAAATTGCAAATTGTAGAATGAACGCCAAAACATTTTTCAAGATAAGTAACACAAAGTCCGTAAACAAATATTTTAGTTGATGGCGCCAAAAAAGGAAAATATTCCACTCTGTAAATAAACGCTTACTTATGCTACAGAATAGCAACGCTTCCGGAATATTTGAATGTTTCCTCGACAGAGCTACGTTTAATTTGTTTGTATATAGGACCGCTACTAAGGTCCTTGTTTATTTGTAACAGGACGAAGCTATAAGTATCAGTTTGAAAGTTAGGATTTTGGTGATACAGTTATTTTAAGCTTTTCAATGACCGCTGTAAATTGAAACAAAAACACGCTTATTACCAT